TCAACATTATATTGGAAGTCCTAGCCAGGGCAATAAGGCAAGAAGGGAAATCAAAGGCATCCAGATTGGTAAAGGAGAAGTAAAACTATCCCTGTTTACAGATAATATCCTATACATAGAAAATTCCAGAGACTCAGCAAGAAAACTACTGTAATTAATTGAAAGATTCAGCATAGTAGCAGGATATAAGATCAACATAGAAAAATCATTTGGATTCCTCTACATTAACAAAGAGATCTATGAAAACAAAAAAATATATAAATAAGGAAAACAATGTCATTTACAGTAGCTACCAAAAAGATAAAATACTTGGGAATAAATCTTACCAGAGACACAAAAGACCTATTGAAAGAAAACTGCAAGCTACTACTCCAAGAAACTTTAAGAGATCTACATAAATGGAAGAACATACCATACTCATGGATATGAAGACTGAATATTGTGAAAATGTCAATACTACCCAAAGCAGTACTACACAAATCTATAGATGCAATCCCAATCCAGAATCCATCAGCATTCTTTAAAGACATGGAAAAACCAATCACTAATTTTATATAGGGAGCTCTGGTAGCGTAGTGCCTAAGGCACTTGACTGCTAGCCAGAAGGTTGGTGGTTCAAACCCACCAGCCACTCCTCAGAAGGAAGATTAGGCAATCTACTTCTGTAGTGATACTGCCTTGGAAACCCAAGGAGGGGTCGCTATGAATCGGGTCCGACTCGACGGCACATAAGAATAACAACAATAATTTTATATGGAAAGGAAAGAGAACTGGGATAAGCAAAGCACTACTGAAGAAGAAGAACAAAGTAGGAGGCTCACACTCCAATCTCAAAACCTACTATGCAACCATGGTAGTCAGAACAGCCTGGTATTGGTACAACAACAGACACATAGACCAGTGAAACAGAATTGAGAATCCAGAAATAGATCCATCCACCTATGAGCAGATGGTCTTTGAAAAAAGGCCAAAATCCGTTCAGTGGGGAAAAGACAGTCTCTTTAAAAAAAATGGTGCTGGCAAAAGTGGATATCCATTTGCAGAAAAGTGAAACAAGATCCATACCTCACACCATACACAAAAACTAACTCCAGATGGATCGAAGGCTTAAATGTAAAGCATAAAAGTATAAGGTTTATCAAAGAAAAAATAGAGGCAAATGTAACCAACTGCCATCGAGTCAACTCTGACTCATAATGACCCCCATTGGGTTTCCAAGGTGGTAAATCTTTATGGAAGTAGATTGCCCCATCTTCCTTCCACAGAATGGATGGTTTGAGCCACCAACCTTCTGGTTAGCAGTCAGATGTCTTAGGCACTGCACCACCAGAGTTCCTAGGTGCAAACTTAGGGGCTCTAATATATGACATAAATAGACTGTCAAACATAACTAAAATGCACAAACACAAGAAGATAAAATAGATTACTAGGATGTTCTAAGAATTACATTCATATGCATATCAAAAGACTTCTCCAAAAGAGTAAAAAGAGAACCTACAGATTGAGAAGAAGTATTCAGCAATGACAGATCTGACAAGGGACTTATTGCTAAAATTTACAGAAAAACTAAATCATTTAAAAAGAAAAGAAAAAAACAGGCTTATTGCTTTGATGGACACTGGTGAAACCCCTGAGACTATGGCCCCTAGTCATCCTTGGGGCCAGGAATTGAACTCACTTCCGTGGCTCTAACAGTAGACAGGCCTGTGAGGTGAACATTTACATCAGGTGGATACACTCCTTAGAGCAGTCAACCATGGGAAATCAGAAGCGCAGCATTTGCACAGGGAGATAGTTCAGAGGGCAGGAATGCATAGGAAAGAAGGACACAGAGAAAAGCTAACCACAGGGAGGAAGTGGAAAGAGAGCTGTTGCATTGTGGGGATTGCGGTCATTGTCATGAAACAAAATGTGTATGAACTGTTGAATGGAAATTGAATTTGCTCTGTGAAGTTTCACCCAAGTCACAATTAAAAAAAAAAAAAAAGTGATAACTCTTGGTAAAGCTGCAGAAAGACAAAGTACAATCTTCCTATATTTATATGTTTCTAGAGATTTCAGTATAGTCATGTGCCATATAATATCCATTTGGGCAGTATCCAACTGCATATGTCTGTGGTCCCATAAGTTATAAAAGAGTTCAGAAATCCCTGTTGGAGAATGGAACAGAAAGGAACGGACATAACTGGAAATCGCATACACAGCTTCCCACATGCAACACATGTATCGCCTATCTCTTCTATGGGAGCTCTGGTAGCGTAGTGCCTAAGGCACTTGACTGCTAATCAGAAGGCTGGTGGTTCACATCCACCAGTCACTGCTTTGAAAAAAGGTTGGGCAATCTACTTCCGAAGTGATACTGCCTCAGAAACCCAAGGAGGGGTCGCTATGAGTCGGGTCTGACTTGATGGCACATAAATAACAACAACATCTCTTCTATACAAAGCTATTAAGTAGCTAGAAGTATAATGGTACAGTCCATATGTAAATTATACTACATATGTTTTGATAGTCATAATAAAAGCTCATGATACTAGCTTATGTATGTTTTGTGCTTTCTATTACTATTTTAATATGAACTTTCCCTACTTAAAAAGTTTACTATGTAACAGAATATGCTTCAACTCATAAGTAGTAGCATGCGATCTCATGTATCACACAGCTCTTGAGTGTTGTAGCATTATCTCTTTGTTATTGTTCTTTATAAAATGTAACTGTGAAGTGCATCATGGCTCCCAACCCAGCAAAAACAGTGCCAGTCATAGCAGCAGCAAGAACCAAAGGAAGAGTAATGATTTGAAAGTGAAACAAAGGCTATTAAACAACACAATGTAGAAAATTAGTGAATGCTATTGCTTGTGATTTAGGTGTGTTCATTTGTTAAGTATATAATATGGTGTGTGAACAATGTCTAAATCACATAACATCACTGAATGTATCATGGACGTTAAGTGACACATATCTGTATATATTGTTGTTAGGTGCCGTCAAATATATATTAAAACCATGTAAAAATACTTTGAATACTTGTGAAATAGAGCAACTGGAAGATAATTAAGAACAGACTTTTCAGCTCTGAAATTTGTCCAAGATGCAGACCTTTGTTGTGGGGGGCTGCATCTGTGGTCCCATCCACTTACTGCCAATCATACCCCCCCCCATTCATTGTGACAAACAAAAATATCTCCTTTTTTTTTTTTTTTTTTTTAACAGTACCATCAAAAGGACGGTACTTTCCCTTAGTTTCCACATACGTAAAATGGATGTTGTTGATAGGTGCTGTCCAGTTAGTTATGACTCATAGCAACCCTGTGTACAACAGAATGAAACACTGTCTGGTCCTGCACCATCCTCACATCTTTCGCTTTGTTCAAGTCCATTGTTGCAGCCATGATGTCAGTCCATCTTGTTGAAGGTCTTTCTCATTTTTCTTCACCTTCTGCTTTACCAAGCAAGATGTCCTTCTCCAGAGGCTGGTCCCTCTTGAAACAAATCCCAAGTATGTGAGACAAAGTCTCACTATTCTTGCTTCTAAAGAGTATTCTGGCTGTATTTCTTCCAAGACAGATTTGTTCATTCTTCTGTCAGTCCATGGTATATTCGATATTCTTCACCCACACCACCATCGGTTCTTCTTTGGTCTTCCTTCTTTAAGGCCATCAGTTTTTCTTTGATCTTCCTTATTCATTATCTGGCTTTCGCCACTCATGAAGTGATTGAAAATCATGGTTTAGGTCAGGTACACCTTAGCTCTCAAAGTGACTTTTTAAAAAAACAAACAAAAAAACACTTTTAGGAGGTCTTTTGCAGCAGATTTGCCCAATGCAATCTGTCATTTGATTTCTTGACTGCTGCTTCCATGAGAGTTGACTGTAGATCCAAGTAAAATGAAAGCCTGATTCACTAGTGTGGGTTTTTTTCTTTTCTATAATTTAAAACATGAATTTGGGTTCATGTCTGATCCTCTTCTCCTGTGCTGCAAATGGCTCTGTCGACCTTTAAGTATAAGCTGTTTCCAAGCACAATCTGTGAATCAAACCAGGCATAAAGAGAACTGAACTCTGGATTTCTGTGCTGTCTCTGTTTTAAAATTTATTACACTTATTAGTACATCACTTTTGGGAGTATGTCAAATTATTTATGGATATGTAGTTCAGAATATGTCCTGTGACACCCTCACCTGGAGATTTTGATTCAGTAGGTATGCACCAAGGCTCTGACATGTGTAATTTTAAGTAACTCACCAATGTAGGAGAAGGCTTCTAGCTCTGGTGGTGTAGTGCCTAAGGCATTTATTTGACTGCTAACCAGGAAGCTGGTGGTTCAAACCCACCAGCCACTCCTCAGAAAGAAGACTGGGCAATCTACTTCTGTAGAGATACCACCTCGGAAACCCAAGAAGGGGTTGCTATAAGTTAGAATCGACTTAACAGCAGTAAGTTTGGTTTGGTTTGAGGTGTAAAAAGTTAGTAAGTTACTTACACCCAGAGATATCCAGAGATATTTGTATTGCTTACAGGGAAGATGACTTTCTGACTTACTAAGTTGAGCTATTTAATATATTTTATCATAAATACAATGAGATAAAGGGTGATTAGATATATTTTTAAAGTACTATTTCCATTGCCACCACCAGAAATACCTGTCCCCCTGGATACCTGCATAATTATGTCTTTTTTTGCATTATCAATCTCCTGCCACTAAAATGTGAACAGGTGTAGGTATTTTGTCTGTTTTGTTCATTTATTCATCAAAATCTTCTAGAACAGTGTTTGGCACGTTGAGTGTCTACTCAGTAGATATTACTAGTGAGGTAATTCCCATGTTATTGGTTAGGAAGATTTGTTGGAAGGCTCTGAAATCTAACCTCTTCCATCTATAGGATTTTCTATGAGAATATCCCAAGTACCAGAAATCAAGTACACAAGTGAATATGCTCAAGACTTTCATACAGAGGAGTGCTTGGTTCTTGATGGACTGTAACTTTATTTTCAAAACAGGATGTGATATGGTCAGACTTCGGGTTTCCTGGAAGAAATGGACGGGAGAGTACATTGTGGATTGGTTCCCTGGGGGCCCATACTCCCTGTCATCTGGACTCCTATGGTTGCAACTTAGTATTCCAGGTACAAGGAAGGTAATTGTGTGTGTGTGTGTGTGTGTGTGTGTGTTTACTGCAGAAGATAGAGGGATGAGTACTGAGTAGGTAGTGGGATCCCAAGCCCGTCCCTGTCAATCTGCCTGGTAGCCAGAACAAAGCTCTTAAACCTCTGGTTCTGTTTCCTGCTTTAAGAAAACTGAAGGGGGAAATTTAAATGGTTTTCCATATGTGTCTCACAGCCCTGATCAGGACTGCCTTTAGAAACAGGATTCTACAACACCAGGATTTCACTCTCAGTTCAGGTAGACAGTTCTCTTTATAGCTCTTTTTATAATAGTGTGAATTTATAGTTTTTGAACTTTTATTTAGGAGCTTTTATTTAAAAGTTTTTCAAACTATTGTGTTGAAAGGAAGAGGTTTCACTTTTACTCTTAGGCCCTTGAGAGAGGGGATGTCAGAAGCTTGACTCAAAAAATACTGGACTAGATGGTATTTACTGTTGCTTTCAACTGTAAATTTTAGTTTGTGCCTACCAGTAGACACAGGTCAATTTTTATCTGCATCCATCTGTAGACCACAAGAGATAGAAGGGCCAAGTCAAGAGATGCTTTTGACAGTCCCTGGTTCCAGGAGTTATGTGCGAGTGTGTTTCTGCCATTAGGAGGATGTGCTAACAGTGCTGCAGGTGCAAACTTGTTTCCCCCTAATTAATGATGCCCTGTCTCCTCTCCTGGCCTTCAGAACATTTACAGGGCAGCACAGAGGGAAAAGAGGATCCTGTGAGTTGTGCAGTATAAGCTGTGCATTTGAAGCAGAGAGATCAGGCTGGAAAGGGATCAGTCTTGTCTCCCAGGCAGGGATCAGGGGTTGACATGATGACATACGTGATCGGTTAACTACCTTTTCTGCTTAACAGGAGAAAAGACATGTAGATTACCTTGTAAGCCAAGCAAAGCAGATTGTATGGCATTATTATCATTATGGCTGTTCCTTTGGGAAACAGCCATGATGCAGGAGAAGGAGCCCTGACCTGAAGACATTGGACCTAGTTCTGGTTCCACCACTAACTGCTAGCCCTGTGTGTGACACTGAGCAAGCACTAGGTGTCTCTTCCACTCTTTTGAAAATGAGATTGGACTGATAATCCCTAAGTGCCCTTCCAGCTCTAACATTCTAGACATTCTATGATTATCATTTGTTTTTGGAGTCTGAATAGGAAAATATGTATCTCAAGATAATTATCAAGGTAAATTACACTTTGCAAATAAGCAGCGGTGGGGGAACTGAATCAGTCTTAATTTCATCATGCAAATCCTGAAAACTGCTCCCACACTAGGCTTAGGTACAGTGGAACGCAGCAGCCTTATCCTTAAAGCTTTCAGATGAGACAAGCAGCTTTTGAGTGGCACTGATTTCTAACCTGAAAGCCTATGTAAATGGATAGGCTGCCTTATAGTTCCAAAATGAATTTCTGAAAAGTAAAGCATTTCATCATTCCTACAAAACCTTCACACTTCCAAGACAAAACTTTAGTATATACTTCTTAGTTTGAACATAGCAGCCAACTGCTTCCCATATCTGAAAGTAAATGATAGCCCCAATATAACTGCAAGAGGTCACTAGAGTGGTTTAAGATTTTCTCAAGATTACATTTCTTCTCTCTCCTTTTGCTTCCCCATTTCTCTGTTTCTGTCTGTTTCTCTTTCTTACTTTTTCAAACCTCTCCTCCCTTGCCCTCAGATTTCCTCCCTCTGTTGGTTAGGAAGATGAGCCCTGGTGGCCCAGTGGTTGAGTGCTCAGCAACTGACTGAAAGGTCAGCATTTCAAACCCACCAGCAGCTCTGCGGGAAAAAGACCTGATGATCTGCTCCCATAAAGATTACAGCCTAGAGGACCCTATGAAGCAGTCCTCCTCTGTCATGTAAGGTCGCTGTGAGTCAGAATCAACTCAACAGCACAGGGAGCAGCAACAACATTGATTAGGAGACCTGGTGGCGCAATAGTTCAATGTGCAGCCGCCAGACACTCCATGAGGGAAAAGACCTGGTACTGTGCTCCCGTAAAGATTATATCCTAGCATGGCAATGGAGCAAAAGAGGGGGAAGGAGAGTCAGGAACAGGAGGAGGATCTGGAATGTGTGGCTAATTGCCTCCATGAACAGCTGCCTCCTTTGCCGTGAGACCAGTAGACCTCGATGGTGCCTGGCTACCATTACTGAACAGTTTGATCAAAGAGTCTATACAAGAAACCCTGATCAAAAGGGGGAAATGCAGAACAGAATTTCAAATTCTCATGGATTCTAGACTTTCTAGAGCCATGGGGGCTACATGAACCCCTGAAACTATTGCCCTGAGGTTATATTTAAAACTTAAACTGAAATATGCCCTGGTATCTTCTTAAAACCAACCAGTAGTTTAGTTTAAGTTGTAAAACATATCTGCCTTGAGCATTATGCTTTTTTAAGAACTGTTTATATGGTATCAAAGTGACGATAGCAACTAAAAAGATTAGACAGTAGCCTCAGAGGGCAGTGAGGGAACATCTGAGAAAAGGAGGGTGAGGATGGTTGGGCAACTCCAATGTGATCAGTGTCACAGAATCGTACATGTAGAAATGGTTTAATTGACATACATTTGCTGTGTATGTTCTCAGCAATAACAAAATAAAATTTTTTTAAAAAATGTACAGTCTAGGAAGCCCTATGGGACAGTTCTGCTCTGTCCTGTAGGGTTACCATGAGTTGGAATTGACTTGAGGGCCCACAACAACGTTGGCTTGAAGTATGAGTCTGTGTAATGTTTTGTGAGTTGAGCTCTGTTACCTCCAGTTTTTTTTAAAAAAAAAAGTTCAGTGACTAGAACATTTCAGTGTTCTCTTTTGAAAAATTTCTATATTAATTTCTTATGTATTTTTAGTTGTTATTTGTATATTTCCTTAACAGATTAACTTAACAAATATTTAACTTAAAGAATTTAAAACTCAAACAGAAAAACATGGAAACTATTTGGTTAATGGAACTATGGATGCTTGCTCTGGATAAGATAAAGATACTTGAAATAGTAAAAGTTATTCTAGATAGCTCTAGAATCAAGAATTAAGACATGATTTCTAAGGAGGCAGATTTAGATTTGAGATAGAAACAATGATCTTACAAATGAGATCCTGTCTCAGCAAGGGACAGACTGCCTCATGGGGTCATGAGATGTCCACTGGTTGCTACTTCACCTTCCACTGGATGTGTGCAGAGGGGATTCCAACACCAAGTGAGAGGTGAGACAGATCATGTTACCACTGAGATTCCTTCTTGTATTTTGTGAACGAAATTAAAATGCGTAAAAATGAACACTTAGCTGCTGTCTCCTTATGCATTTTGTTTAAAATGCAGAGTACTAACTTGTATCTTGCTTTTTTTAATCAGGAAAAGATGGCACCTCTTTCCTCCTGAAGATACTCCTTTCCTTTATCCAACGAGAATCCCTTATGAAGAATCTAGTGTGTTCAGTAAGATCAATGTTGTCAATCCTGATTTAAAACGTTTTCCTCAGTTCCAGAAAGCTCAAAGACATATGGTTACACTGAACCCAGGACAGGTAATGGTGGTGTCTTTAAACATTGATGGCCTGTCAGTGGGCACTACAGCTATAACTCTTCAAATCCTTTTGCCTCATACCCCCATCCCCACCCAACCCAAATATAAATGAGAAAGATTTCCTTTGCTTCTGATCTGCTATTGAAAGGAAGCTTCCCCAGCTACAGGCTTCAGACATATCTCTGTTTCACAGGTCATGGAACGCTGATAGAAGGATGGAACACAGCTCCTCCTGTTGGTAAAGGGGAGGATAAACTTTGCAGGAAAAAAAGCTGATAAAAGCCATTTTTACTCAGGTTAAGATAAAGTGTCAAGCAGTAGGCACTTAATACATCTCTGGAACTGTTAATAAAACCAAACCAAACCCATTGCCATCAAGTTGATTCCAACTCATAGCAACCCTATAGGACAGAGTAGAACTTCCCCATACGGTTTCCAAGGCTGTAAATCTTTACAGAAGCAGACTGCCTCATCTTTCTCCTGTGGAGCGGCTGGTGAGTTCAAACCACCAGCCTTTTGAATAGCAGGTGAATGCTTTAACCACCACACCACCACAGCTCCTTCTCTGGAACTCTTCTTAGTCACAGTTAACATGTTAAGCAAAGATAGAACCCACACACATGAATGCACAGGTTGGAATCCATCTGGGTAGTGGACCAACAATGATAGAATGAACTGAGAATTCTTTTAAGCAAGAATGGATTTTATTTTTATAAATGACTGTCTCTGAAACATTTCCAGAGTTATTATGTTCAGTGCTGTTACCCAGTGAGGAAAATTTCCTTTAAAACGTTGACATTTGCTGTCTGGTAGTTTATTAATATTTTGAAAGATTTTCTTAGTCCCCTCTTAAAGTGACTTTATTCCCTTGATTATCCTTCTTCCTTCCCTGGCTTCCTTCCAGCCCTCCCTTCACACTGGCTCTTTCTCTGCTTCTTCCTTCACACTCAGGTTTGTACGACCAACTTCAACAGTTTTGCTTGACCATGTTGACTCATGTAGCTGCCAATTCATTTTTTTAGTTGAAATATAATTCACATACCATAAAATCCACTACTTTAACGTGTACATTTCAGTGGATTTTAACATATCCAACTATCATCACTATCTAATTCCAGAACGTTTTATCACCTCAAAGACTCCTGGTATCCATTAGCAGCCAGTCCCGGTTTCTCTCTTCCTCCAGCACCTGGCAGTCATGAATCTGCTTTCTGTTTCTACAAATTTGCTTATTCTTGATGTTTCATATAAATGGATTTGTAAAATATGTGGTCTTTTGTGACTTCTTTCAGCATAATATTTTCAAAGTTCATCCACACTGTAGCTTGTATCAGTACTTCATTCCCTTTCATGTCTGAATAATGTTCTGTTGTATGGATATGTCAGATTTAATTAACCCATTCATTAGTTGATGGACATTTTGGTTGTTTCTATTTTTTGTCTGTTATCAATAATGTTGCTATGAACAGTTGCTATATAGCATTTTTATATGAACATATGTTTTCATTTTTCTTGAGTGTATACCTTGGAGTAGAATTCCTGGGTCATATTGCAACTCTATGTTTAACCTCTGGATGAACTGCCAAATTATTTTCCACAGCATCTGCACCATTTTACATTTCCACTAGGAGTGTATAAATTCTGTTTTCTCTACATCCTCCCCAATGCTTGTTATTTTCCTTTTTTATTTTTAATAACTACTCTAGTAAGTGTGAAGTGATTGCTATTTTTACTTCTATCTTTAACAGCCAAACTTGAATGAATGATTGTGGTGTATCAGTTTTTCTTAACTCCACCCATTCCTTTATCCACCACACACTGGCTCTCTCTTTATTGAAATTATAAAGGACATTTATAATGTGAAAGGACATTTATAGTGTGAACATTGTAGGACATTATAGTGTGAAAGGACATTTGTGACCTCCTAAGAACTAAATCCAAGGTGCTATGGTGGTGTAGTTAAAGCCTTCAGCTGCTAACCAAAAGATTGGTGGTTCAAACCCACCAGCCACTCTGCAGGAGAATGATGAGGCAGTCTGCTTCCATAAAGATTTACAGCCTTAGAAACCCTATGGGGCAGTTCTACTCTGTCCTGCAGGGTTGTTCTGAGTTGGAATTGGTTTGATGGCAGTGGGTTTGGTTTTGGAGTTTGCAAGGACTATATCCAGTGGCCCTTTTTATTGCCCAGTTCACTTGCTGTGAATAAGGTGGACTCACACAGACCTGTGAGTCCACCTTATTCGTAGCAAGGCTTCCAGTCTCCTAAATCATAAACCCAAGAGCTCTGGATCACCTCTGTCTGCTCTACTTAACCCTCCCTCGTAAATCTCAAGTTGGACAGGTTTCATCCCTCCTGACTCTGCCTGTTGCTTTTGTTTGCTTCTCTGGTTTACATCTTAATATTTAATAATTGGACCATTATAAGATCTGTCCTTCCCAGACTCTCTCTTTATGCTACTATTTTAACCATCCCTCTACTTAAAATTTCTCAGTGATTCCTTATGTCTGCAGGATAAAATCCAGATTCTTTCTTCTGAATTCAGGGCTCTCCTCTGGCCCCAACACTTAATTCTCCTGCATTATTTCCTGTTATTCCTTCTGCAGTGATAAGACTATTTGCTGGCCCTCACACAGTCTTACCTCCTTTTCCTGTGCCACCTCTTCCTGGCATGCCCCTCTATTTTTCCCTGTCTAATTTTCTCCCAGTCTTGATTCAGATCCCACCTCCTCCATGCGGGTGGCCTGACCTTCCTCGCTCATGCCTGCCTCTTCTAGGAAGTTCTCTAGCACTGAATGTCCATTACTCTGATTTGCCACTGACATGATTTCTGACACCTTTCTCTATACCTAATCTTCTCATTCACTAGATTTTAAACTATGGGAGGGCTGAAAATGTGTTCTCTGTTTTTCTCTCTGCCCTTTCTCAGAACACATACAATGATTTTGCAGTGGAAAGGAGGAAAAATCAGAATGCTCACAGGATGCTTTACTAAGATTTAGGTCTAGATGGAGCAGTCACAAGATTAAAGAGTAGAAAAGCTGAGAATATCCTTTGTAGACTATTCTTACTTACCAATTTTAAAAAAAGAGTAAAAGAATTGTGGGTTGTTTTTCTTTTCTCCTTGTTTCCCTTTCCTACAACAGTATTATGCTAATTAACTTGCATTTCTTTTTTTCTTAGTAGCCTGAATTAGGGTCTTAATCTGACATAAAAATGAAATGTCCTCATGTCTCACACCATATACAAAACCCAATTCAAATGGAGCAAGGACCTAAATGTGAGAACTAAAATCATAAAATTCACAGAAGAAAACATAGGGATATGGCTGCGAGACCAGATTTAACAGTGGACGATCAGATATGACACCAAAAGCATGAGAAACAAAAGATAAAATACGTCTGTTCATCAAAGGACTTTATCAACAAAGAGACAACCTACAGATTGGGAGAAAATTTAGGGGAATCATATATGTGATAAGGATTGAATATCCAAAATATATTTTTAAAAAAAGAAAAGTCTGCAATTTAACAACAACAACAAAAAGACTTGAACAGACATTGCACCAAAGAGGATGTACAAATAGCCACCAAACCCATGAAAATCGGCACAATGTCATTAACCATTAGGGAAATGCAAAACAAAGCTACAATGAGGTACCACCTCACTACCCTCACTGGAAGGGCTCTGATCAAAAAAAGGGGGTTGGGTAATAACATGTTGATGAAGATGTGGAGAAATTGGAACTCTTATCCATTGCTTGTGGGAATGCTAAATGGTACAGCTGCTGTGAAAAACAGTTTGGCAGTTCCTCAAAAAGCTGAACATAGAACTATAATATGGCCTAGTGTGTTAGGCTGGGTTCTCTAGAGAAGCAAAACCAGTAAAGCTTAGAGAGAGAGAAAAAAGAATTTATCCTAGGGAAATGGCTCACACACTTATAGAAGCTGGCAAGTCCCAAGTTCTTGGATCAAACATCAAGCTGGAGGCTTTTCCTGACTCACACAGCCACAGGGGCTGACTAGCTCAAGGTTGGCAGGCAGTATACTGGCTGTTGACTCCAACAAATGACGAATCTAAGATCTCCAGGCCAAATAGTGGATTGTTAACTCACGGATAGTTGTAGGCAGCACAACAGGATCCTGATCCAGAGAAGAGTGTCTCTTCTTCCCAGGATGTCCATAAATATATTGGAAGCAGGCCACAGCCCTAGGGAAGCTCCCTTTCAACTGACTGGCTGCTCAAAACATATATATCCAATCTCATCATGGGAATAACCCATATCACAACTGCTTAAACCACCCAGAATTGTGGTCCAGCCACGTCAATACACAGCTCCACCTATCATACCTAGCAGTCCCAATCCTAGGTATATACCCAAGAGAATTGAAAACAGAAACTTGTACACTGGTGTTCATTGCAGCACTATTCATAATAGCCAAAAAATGGGAACAACCTAAATGTCTATAAAGAAAAACAAAAACTCATTGTCATTGAGTCATATCCAACTCATTGTGACCCCTCCTTGAGTTTCCAAGACAGTATCATTATGGAAGTAGATTGCCCAGTCTTCCTTCCGAGGAGTGGCTGGTGGGTTTGAACCACCAGCCTTCTGATTAGCAGTCAAATGCCTTAGGCATATGCCACCAGAGCTCCTAAATGTCTATAAATAGATGAGTGTATAAGCAAAATGTGGTCAGATTTTGTCTGCATTCAAGAGAATGAATAAGAGTCAAAGTCAGCATGGAGCTGATTCCTGTGAGGTGGAGGTCAGACACACTACCCTCCAACTCATTTACTAGCCATTGCCCTATGGCACTCTCCTCTTCTTAGCTGGGTTTGATAATCCATTGCAATGGCTGCAAAGAACTCAGACATACTCCCAATTAACTAGTTTGTTAGGAAAGTAACAGGCTACAGCCCAGGAGATATGAGACAGTTCTGTAATTAGGACAGCTTCCAACCAAGACAGCCCTCAGCTGCTTCTAGGCCATGCTCACACGGGGTTTTCATTTGGCCTTTTGTGCTTCCGGTCTCCTGGTTTCCACTCCTTTCTCTGCCTCCGGGCTCTGCTGTGGTGGTTGCCACTTCTTGCTGTCTTCAGTGGTAGACCTTGCTTTCTCCTGTGTCTAGGAGGTTCTCAGTGCAGGGACCCCAAGTCCAAAGAACATGCTTTGCTCCAGGCTGTCTTTGATAGTAGTTAGTCCTCCTGAACCTCTGTGGGATTGGCCTTTATAAGCCTGGCAGGATGGCAGAGCTGGTAGACCACAGTCACTTCATTTGCATAGTAATGGACCAATTCCTGCCAGGTCTCTTAATCCTATTGGATGTTTTATATGCCCTGTTTGTGTATAAACCAGTCCCTTTACAAGATTGTGACCTGGCAGATCCTCTTGGAAGAACTACAAACCCAGGGCCAGAAAGGCCACATATAAGAGAAATTCATTGCACTGCAACATACATGGAATATTATTCAACCATAAAGAGAAATGAAGTCCTGATACATGGCACAACGTGGACGAAACTTGAAGACATTATACTCAGTGAAATAAGTCAGTCACAAAAGGACAAATAGTATGCGATAGTATGCGATCTCACTTATATGAAATAGGCAAATAGATTGAAACCAAAGCTTATTATTAGTGGTTATAAGGCATGGGAGGGAGGAGGGAAAGGGGAGTTACTGCATAGGGGCATTGAGTTTCTGTTAATGGAAGTAGAATAATTGGAAAAGGATAGTGATAATGGTTGTACAGCACAAAGAATATAATCAGTGTCACTGAATAATAATGTGAAAATGGTTGAATTAACAAATTTTATTATGTATATTTTAACTACAGTTTTAAAACAGGAAATGCCCTGTTCACTAACAGTGTTTTGTCTGGTTTCAGGTTCTGTTTGTTCCCAGACACTGGTGGCATTATGTAGAATCCGTTGATCCTGTCACTGTCAGTATAAACTCATGGATTGAACTGGTAATTTTATTTTCTTTTTTAAATAAATGTAATCCCTGTGTTTAGGATATGCAAACCCTTCCCATAAGACTTGGTGATTAATATTTTTTAACCGACATTCCAATATCACCTTATTTGGATGTACTATAATCTGTGTAGTCTATCCAGTGCTGGTGGATGTTTAGGTTGGAAATGGGATCCTTAGTGATGTGCCTCTTCTAAGGACATACAATGCGCCCTTATGTTGCATACAGGGCCCTCTGCCTTAACGATTATTAGAATTGTATTGGGCTTAGCTGGATCAGCCATGTATGTTCCACACTGCCAGTCCCATCCCACACCATCTGGCCTGGAATATTTGCTTCTTGGTGGAGGGTCCTCATTACTAATTGCGGAGTTCTCAGACTTTGCTTATACACTTGCTCAAACAAAGTCTTTCAGTGCCAGGTTTTTTATCATTTTATTTGTGCCCAGATTGCCTGCACTACTTGATAATTAAAATGGCAACATGTTACCACTGAACTGTCTTTTAAACCTGAGACTTTAATTGCATCTCTTTAACCCAAAGTCTTGCAATTAAGTAACCATCTAGGTTACACAGCAAAAAGAGAGTGAGAGAAACCTGTAACTAAAATCTGATTCCAAAGTCTATGACCAGAATGATGAAGAATCTAAAGAAGAAAGTCACGTAAAAAATGTAACTAAAGAAACTAGAGATTTTGAGCCTGGAAGATAAGGTCTTAGGAATCTTCCTCTCAATCACAGTTTTCTTGTCTTTTGATAATGAGAGGAACTTTGAATTAGGTGTAGCCTAAGGAATATTGTGGCTGTTTTTGTTGTGTTGTTATATGCTGTCAAGTCAGACCCAACTCATAGTGACCCTTCTTGGGTTTCCAAGGTGGTATCACTACAGAAGTAGATTGCCCAACCTTCCTTCCGAGGAGTGGCTGGTGGGTTTGAACCGCCAGCCTTCTGGTTAGCAGTCAAGTGCCTTAGGCACTACGCTACCAGAGTTCCTAACATTGTGGCAGGAGACTATAATACATGGGCTTAGAAAACAGTTGTAGCACTGAGGGCTTAAGTGAAAGGTGCAGCAAGAGAACCAGTGACTCTGATTAGAAATTCTACATTTCTTCTTCCATGGTCTCAACCAGACATTTGTCTTTAATGTGGGCTCTGGAGCAGTTTTGCTAGTCTTTAGTATTTAATTTCTCATTTACATTTAATTAGAGTATATTGTATTTTCTTTCTCCCAGCTACACTGTACGAATGCGCTAAGGGTGATTTGATGTTCTCTCCTTGTTGGTTGCTTTTGTTTTTAGGAGAATGTGTGGAGAGTTTTGAAATTACGTGACCTCAGAAGCTTGGAAGCCTTCACCCATGGTCTTTTTAAAAGTTGGTTATATGTCATCTGTTCAGTTTGGTCTCTAGATTTTTCCAAAGGATTTGTGTGATTAATTATAAACAGGCTCTAAGGTGTTATCTACAAGTTCAGTATTTAAAGACTTCACACTGATTTAAAGTGGATGCTACTGTAAAGCTACGATTCTAGTTTCTTCTTTCTTTAACTTCTTTCTATACACATCACAATTTGAAGACCATCTGTTCTCACTTGAAAAACTAGAATGCAAAATAGAAATTGAGTAACTGTGTCTTCCTCTGTCCAGTGGTGCTGTTTCGTGTCTGTCTCTTCGAGCACTGGCTGATAGTCCTTCAGGCTCCTTCTTGTTGCCAAGTTGAGCTTCAAAGGCCCATCGCTGTTAAAGTCTACCATATTCCTATAACTCAAGCTAAGTCCAGGCTCTATTCTTCCTGTTCATGGATTTGGAGAAGAGTAGAGATTCTGATTGTGTTCAGGTGATTCAGTATTCATCCCCTCTCTCAGTTTCTCTAAGAACGAAATGCAGAGTCTGTCCTGATATTGGAGGAATAAAGTATAGTCTCAGTCCTTCTCAATGGTGCCTTTGATATCCTTTCCATCTCCTTATTCTTTTAAGTATTGAAATATGTTTATTTTATCACTATGTTTTTTTCAAACTTTCTTAGAAAATATTTTTGTTAATGATTAAAGGCTTTCCTCTCACTTTCACAACTTTTCCATTATTATGTCTTTTATTATAGTTCTTCATCTAAAACAACTAAATGACATCTTCAACTAAAAGAACTAAATGACACATTTGTAACATATAAATGGTAATGATATAACAAATACTGTTTTCCAAAGCAACTGCACCATTTTCCATCCCTTGGTGAGGAGTCCAGCAGTATATGAGGAGTCCAGTTTCTCCTCATCTTCACAAGCATTGTTTTAATCTATCTTTTTGATTACAGCCATCCTAGTGGATGTGAAGTGCAGTCTCACTATGAGATTTGCTTTTTTAAATTTAACATCATGTTTCTAAGATTCATCTTTGTTATCACATGTGGCTTTTGGTCCTTCGTTTTCACTGTGGAATAATCTCTTGTATTAATGGACCACAATATTTTTGTCCATTGTTCTATTGATGGATAATTGCCTTGTTTTCATTTTTCAGCTATTATGAACAGAATATTTTTCTACATGTCTCCTAGTACATATGTACAAGAGTTTTTCTAGGGATTATGTATGAGTGTGTGTGTGTGTGTGTGTATGTATGAATGGAATTGCTCGTCAGTAGGGTATATAATGGGAGCTCTGGTGACGTAGTGCCTAAAGCATTTGACTGCTAACCAGAAGGGTGGCAGTTCAAACCAACCAGCCACTCCTTGGAAGGAAGTTTGGGCAATCTACTTCTATAGTGATACTGCCTCAAAAACCTAAGGAGGGTTTGCTATGAGTTGGATCCGACTTGACGGCAGTGAGTTTGGTTTTTGTGGGATTTTTTAGGGTATATAATATTTAACCTTACAAGATAATATAAACATGTTTTCCAGATGGCTGTATCAGTTTGTGTTCCTACCAATAGTGTGTAAAACTTTTGTCTGTAAATGCACATGTCTGCACTACTTGGTATCATCAGACCTCTTAACTTTTTCCAGTTTCATTGGTTTCCCAATTTGCATTTCTCTGATTATTAATGAGATCAACCATATTTTCATATGATTGATCCTTTTTGAAATGCTTGCTCATGTCTTTTGACTATTTTTTAAATTGGATTATTTGTCATTCTTATTGATAAGTGTAGATTCTTTATATATTCTGGATATTAATCTCTTACCAATTATGTGTGGCAGACAACATATTTGTTTGTTTGTTTTTTTCCCTGTACAATGTCTTTTGATAAACAGAAGTTATTGATTTTAATGTAATTCATCATTAATGCTACAATTTATACTTATTTTATCTTAAGTAAACCAATGGTTAGTCATTTCATTCTTGTTTCCGAGCATGTTCATAATAGCTTTCCTCCCAGTCTTCAAACAGTTTGCTTATCAAACTCTGTAGGGATTATTCCTCAGTATGTAGTACTTTTTTTTTTTTTTTTTTGACTGTAAACACATGTCAAAGAATTGAAAAGATTGGAAAAAGCATCATAAGATAGTTCATACTGAAGGCCTATGTCTTATAGACAGAATATATACCAGATGGCAGGTGACAGTGAATACATAAAAACTGTATTTCTTCTAATAGCATATTTACTCCTTCTGTAATAAAGCTTATATTAATGAAAGAACAGAACACACAATGAAGTGAGACTCTACTCTTTGTGCTTGGTCTCTGGGTTTTGGTCCTAGGTAAAGCAAATGGTTTGCTCTAGGCTACTAACCAAAAGTTTGGCTGTTTGAATCAACCCATTGGCACTGTGGAAGAAAGGACTGGCAATCTACTTCCATAAGATTACAGCCAAGAAAACCCTGTAGAGTGCATTTCTACTCTGAAGTAGATAGGGTCACCATGAGCTGTAATTGACAGCGGTAGGTTTTTTTGTTTTTGTTTTAAGCCATGAGACACAGAGACAAATGATAAAAATATATTTTTGTCTCATTTTAGGAAGAGGACCACCAAGCCCGGGTAGAAGAAGCGATCACCCGTATCCTTGTATGCGCTCTGAAGACCGCAGAGGACCCAGACAACACCAAAGCTTGGTTAAACCCCACTGAGGTAGGCCACTTCATCACGACAATTGGTCTTCTGTGATAAATCAACTCTGACTAAAATATTTGTTTTCCAGTTAAAATAAATGCATGTAACTTGTGAAGCGTTTTTCTTTTTCCTTAGGTTGAGGAAACATCCCATGAAATCAATTGTCGCTATTTAAATGGAGCTGTTTCGGCCCTTTTTGATCATTACAGATCATCTAAAGGAGTTGAAATTCAAGCATTAGGAACAAATGGAGAGCCCACAAAAAAGGAAAAATTAAATGTTCACGACCACATGGAGGTGGAACAACCACATAGCCCAAACTTAACCATGGGACCTGTGAAACAGGAGGCAGCAAGTCCCTTTGGCCTGGATCTGGTTCCTGTAATACCAAGTTCCAAAGAACCATCCACAGCAAGAGGAGGCATTTTTGAAAATGATGGTGAAGACTTTGTCACCAAAGATGGCGAGTACTTTGGAAAATCACATTGTACAAAGAGGCAACGAATGATGTATATAAGCAAGAAAGCAATTGTAGAACAAATTGCTTCAGATAGTACTGAGGCCCCTTCTCCAATATACGTTTCTACAGATGACTTGCTGGACTGCTTGGTGAATCCACAAGTAATCAGGATAGTGGCTCAGCTTTTGATACAAGGGAAAACGTTGTGATTCTAATAGAAGATAAGGTTTTAATTAATATTTTAAAAATGTTTTTGAACAGTGTGATTTTTAAATAAAAGACGAAGCAGTAAAATGTCAGTTTCCACATGTTTGCAAATGCACTGGTTGTTACCAAATTAAATTTCAAAGTCTCTTGCTGTTTTCTGTTCATAGTTCTCTCAGGCCACACTGGTCCCTTGTCATTTGTGGGACTTCTTTCCTTAGTGCCTTTGTTCATAGTTTCCTTCTCCCTCCCATTCTTTCACTTTTTCTCAAATGTGGGCCATAATCCCCATCGGCCTGAAACGGGTGAGCAAGTTGAGGACCACGGGCTAGCCTATTGGCTGTCTTTATAAATAAAATTTTACTGGAAAACTGCCATGCCCATTTATTTACATATTGCGTGACTACTTAGTGTTATGATGGCAGGGTTGAGTAATGACGGAGACTATATGGCCTGCAAAGGAGAAAATACTCACTTTACAAAAGAAGTTTACCATTTCCTGTCCTAATTAGATCCATTGGGTGGATTCTGTCCTTTGTCCACTGTGATCTGATTTCTGACAGCTACAGAATTCTAACTGGTCCTGTCATCCAGACCAGGAGAAAAGTAGATGGCCTTATATGAGGCCTAATTATGGAAAGAACTTGAACATCTAGGAACACCATTCCTGGGAATAAGGAAGATAGAATGCTACTAACTCCTGAAACAGTGACTAGAAGCTTGGGTAATGGAGTCTTAAAAGCTTGCAAGTGGTCATGTAGATGCAACAATGGGTCTCTCCTCATCCAGAGCAAAGAAGAATGAAGAAAACAAAGGACACATGGAACCAGTTAGTCCATGGGACTAGTAGACCATGCAAACCTCAGCCTATATGGCAATAAGACCAGAAAAACTAGATGGTGCCTGTCTACCACTGTCAACCACTCAGAAAGGGATCAGTGCAGGAGATCCTGGATAGAGTGGGAAAACAACATGGAATTAAACTCAAAACTATAAAAAAGACTAGGTTTACTGGTCTGATAGAGCCTGGTGAGCCCCTAACTTCCCTTCAGGTCTGGAATTGAACTCAATCCTGTGGCCTCCAGGCAAACAATAGACAGACATTCACATCAGGTAGATACACTCCTTAGAACAATTAATCATGAGAGAACAGAAGGGCAGTATTTACACAGGGAGATAACTCAGGGTGCAGCAATACAATAGGGAAGAAGGACATGGGAGAAGTAACTACAGGGAGGAAGTGGGAAGAGAGCCCTTACATTGTGGGGAATTGCAGTCAATGTCATGAGACAAAATGTGTATGGACTATTGTATGGAAAATGAATTTACTCTATAAACTGTCACCCAAGTCACAATAGAAATGAAAAAAAAAAAAAAAGCTTGAGTAAGAGAAATTGATCTAGTTCTCACTACATGTGCAAGAAGACCTGGGGATAACTAATACCATTATTGTCTTAGGTATGAATTTGGAAATTACAAACATTGATCTGCGAGTACCCAAGCATGAAACAAATACTCAATAGAAAAGATATGTAAACCTCTTGAGACTAGTTGACTACTGGTCTCATTTTACTGTCTTCACTTAAAAAAATTATTTCTAAAAGAGGAAGGTGGTGTTATGTGAACATGCCCAGAAGAAGGGTCTGAGAAGAACCCTTCTCTCTGCAGCCCTTAACCATCATCTCGTCACCACATAATGACCTGTTTACTTGATTATTGTCTTATCTCAACTAGTATTTAACTCCATAAGGGTAGAGACTGATTATTGATGTATTCACAGAGCTTGATGGGTACCCAACTCATAATAGATGTTCAACAGATAATTTGACAGATATTTGACTGAAAGGATAATGAGGAGTGCTCCATCAAATCAGAGCAGGGTACGGTGGGGCTACGGGTAAGATGTCTATTACTCAAAATATATTCTTATAGGTATAGACATCTTTTTCTTCAGATGTTTTATTTTTGATATTTGATATTTGCTATTCCTTTAACCAGTTGGGTGATCTATTTCCATAGTGATACTGCCTCAGAAACCCAAGGAGGGATCTCTATGAGTCATATCCAACTCAACAACAGTGAGTTTGGTTTGGTTTGCTTTGGGTTAGCAGTCAAATGCCTTGGGCACTATGCCACCAGAGCTCTTCCAAAAAACCAAACCAAACTCACTGCCATTGTGTTGGATCTGACTCATAGTGACTCCTCCTTGGGTTTCCAAGGTGGTATCACTATGGAAGTAGATTGCCCAACCTTCCTTCTGAGGAGTGGCTGGTGGGTTTGAACTACCAGCCTTCTGGTTAGCAGTCACATGCCTTAGGCAGTAGGCCACCAGAGCTCCCTCTTACTAGAGCTCTTAGCACTATGCAAATGTGAGATGCTCATGGTCCACCAAGGGGATTGGATATAACTTCTAATAATATAAAGTGCATGACACCCTTGTAGGGGTGGGACCATACAAATAAATATATGGAGCCCTAGCGTGGGGATTGGTCAGTTTTGCCATCCCACTGGGCCTATAATGAGCCATCCCAAAGGCAGAAAGGGGGTATCTGACTACTACCCAGAGGAAGAGATAGTAGCACAGCACATCCTTTGGATCCAGGGTCCCTGTGCTAAGAATCTCTATCCAGACAGAGACAAACCTGTAACACCTTGCTGAGACTGCTAGAAACAGCAAGAAGCAGCAGCCAGAAACAGAGGCAGCACAACGAGGAGACCAGCACGAGATGGCATGGTGGGCTTCTTGGCTCACAGAACAGGAAAGCTGAGTGCCTTCAGGCAGGAGGCTTGCTAGTGAAGTGGCATGCCTCTAGGCACCTGATGGAGCTAGGTTTGCCAACTCATGGAACTAGAGCTGAGGGCCTTTGGGCCAAGGTTTACTGGCAGAATGAGGTACCTCTGGTACATCAGCAGAGCTAAAAGGGCTTTGTAACACCTGCCAAAGTAGGGCAGAAGTCAAGGGGCCATAGGGCCAAAAAGCTGAGAGCCAGATGAGGTGTGCTGTGGGCACCGCTGAGAAGAGGCTGTCCTAATTGAAAAACTATATTCTGAGTCATTTTTGATCCTGACTTGTAACCTGTTAACTTCCCTAATAAACCCCATAATCACGACTATTGTCTGTGAGTTCTGTGTGGCCACTGCAATGAATTATCAAACCCAGCAGAGAAATAGAGAGTGCAGTGGGAGGGAACTTGGTGTCAGAATTGGTAAAAAAGGTTGGAGGGTAGAGGCATGTCTGACCTCCACCTCATAGAAATCAGTCTTGGGTTCTTGATTTTGATCCTCCTGCTCCCTTGTGAAGTTAGAGGCTATCACATGCTACCCTCATGTCATTTTCACATGGCATAAATATTTATAGCAAAACATTTCCCATTTCAACATTCTTTACTTGTACAATTCAGTTACATTGATTACATTCATCATATCGTGCAACCAACACCACTATCCATTTCCAAAAATTTTCATCACCCCTAACAGAAAGTCAGTGCCCCCCTTAGATAATAACACCTCTCCTTCCTTACCCTCCTTCCCCTGGTAACCATTAATAAACTTTGGTCTTTAGGCACTTGCTAGTTCTGAGTATTTCATGTAAGTGAGATTATACAACTTCTGTCCTTTTGTGACTGATTTTTCTTAGCATGTTTTCAAATGTTTTGTTTCTTTTAAAATCAGAAATAGGATATAATCCAGTCTCAGCATTTGTCTTTATAACTATATATATACACACACACAATATATAGCAAGGATTGTGAGGATGGTGCATGACCGGGACAGTGTTTCATGCTATTGTACATACGGTCGCTGTGAGCCAGAGCTGACTCAATAGCACTTAACAACAGCAACAACATATACATATAAATTTTATAAAGCAAGTGGGCCACAAAGGCAAAAGTGACCAAGGCCCATGAAAGTCCCAATGCTGCCTTGGGTCTCAGGGATCTCAGAATCTCTTGAGGTGCTTGTTGAAAATCCAGATTCCTGGGCACCACTCTAGAGCTATAGAATCTGAGTCTCACAATGGGGCAGGAACTTACACTTCTAGCAAACATCCAGGTCATTCAAATAAATAAAAAGCTTAAGAATCTCTGCCCCTTGGGAAGACCACCAAGACCTATCACAAGCTTAAACAGGGCTTGTTTTAGCAGAAGTCAATTTGCCCTTCAGTTTTACTGAACTAAACCCAGATTGTACCCCTTTCTATAATTTTCAGTTGAGTGTTATTCATACTCCGAGTATCCTTTGATGCTGTCATGTTTAGTTGTGGCCTTTTATCAGCAGTGACCCGTGTATGTATCATCAGACCCCCCTGTATCTGCCCCTCAAACAAACCAAACGCACTGCCAGCCCCTAGCCATTCTGACTCATAGCAACCCCCTTTGGGTCACAGGCAGTAAATCTTTATGGAAATAGATTGTCCAGTCTTCCTTCTGCAGAGGGACTGGTGGGTTTGAACCTCCAACCTTCTGGTTAGCAGTCAAATCCCTTAGGCACTACACCACCAATGTCCTTATTTGCCCTCTAGGATAAAAATATGTGCCAACAAACCACACCTACAACTCCTGGGACTTCACTTACTGAGCGAGAGCCACTTCCTCCATCTCCAGCAA